TGCAGTTATGGTACGTGTTTACTTTTGAATGCCCTTGCATTTTGAGATGTGAAGAACAGTGCATTAGTTGTTTCAGGAGTGGGTAGGTGGGTATGTAATATTCATGTTTTGAGAGAGGTATCTGCTCCAGTATATAAATCATGACTTGTGTGTGACTAGGAAACTTATAAAGGAACTAAATTATTTTTTCTCTGCACGTATATCTACTTGTTTCCCATTTTCAGTAAACTCTGGATTTTTTTTTGTCTAAACTTCCTATCTAAATTGGAAGCTGAAGTGCATATACGCACTCACACAAATAGATTAAGACTGTTAAGAGCAGCCTTTTCTTTTTCTACTAGGTTCCAAGTAATGAGCCATCTGAGAAACCACACCTTTGTGCTAAAGATCAAGAGAAGGAAGAAGAGCCAACCAGAATCTCTGAGTATTTTTTCAGTGACATCTTTATGGAAGTGGATGATTCAGAATAGCAAACTGGCTGTATAAAAAACGGGGATCTGAGGGTATAATGCAACAGGAAAAGAGTCTTTTAAAAAAGTTCTGCTTTGTTCATTATGCCACACTTACTGTCAGCTAAGCTGCTGTTAATAAACTCCATAAAGATGAAACTGATTCCTTCTGAAGTGACCTGGATACTTTTCAAATGTTGACATCTAGACCACTACATTGATGTCATTGGACCAGACCAGCGGCAGCTGGCTTGTAGTTTCACTTGTTTAGATGCTGATAATGAGTGCATGACTATCTTCCAGAAAAGTGCAATGAAAAAATGCTTAATCTTGTGACAAGTATCCCTTTGAATTTTAATGCTAAAGCTTGTGGTACTGGTTATACAAGTGCTTTACTTCTTTTTGTGAAGTATGTCGTGTTAGTGTGTTAGAAGGAGGAACGAACCTTTTATGTATAGTGTAATCTCTGTAGATCGGGATGCAAATACTGGAAGTAGTGTAGTAAATAGATATGTTCAGCACTGGAGGTATTTTTATTAGCATCTCCAAATGATGTATTTTTGTAAGAGTTTTTAATTATATAAATTAAAAGATCCTAACCTGAAGAGCCAGATAGGTTTAGTTCCTTTAAGATTTATTGAGAACAACAGGAAAACCACAATTTACTAAAAGATGCTAGAGTGTTAATCTTGGCAACTGTCCTGTTGGAGTGGGAGGAAGAGGTTAATGTTTACTAGTATAAATGCTAATTTCCTTCTAAATTTGAAAACAAGGGGATAGATACCATTTCTTTTCCTTGGTTTTACACGTAGGTGTTTGTATCTCTGCTGACTTCCTTGGTTTCCCTTATGCAAAGAAGCACAAAGAGACTGGATTTAGACCATGACTATACAATGTGGTCGCTTTGAGTATTTGCTACTTTGAAGCAGTTGAATGTGAATAGTTGTTCTCATGTTGCATGTCTACTTGTACTGTAACTCGCTATAAAATGCTGGTGTAGCTTTAGATTTTAGTCTAAATTTTTTACATGCCTCATCAAGGTTGTCTTGATGAGGTAACAAGGTTCATGCAGTCTCAAAGTAGGTGGTCACTGACAGATTCAATATTTATCCTGAAACTCCTTATTACACAAAACTGAGTGTAGAGTAGATTTAAGTAGTCTAAATTTTTCTCCTGTTACTTAATACCAGCAGGTACTTTTGCAAAGCAAATGATTTATTATGAAAGTGAAACTGATGCTTAAATGGTATTGTTATGCTCTCAAGAAACCTGTCTTCAGCTTTGAACTGGATAATCATTTACTGGCAAATATTTTCATACAAGTATCTAGTTAGTTTTGGAATACTTTATGAGGTTGGAGAATATTTGCCTTTTCAGAAGTTATTGGCAAGGCTTCTGAAGGAGCTTTTAAAATGTTGTCAATAAGGACAAATACACAGAAAAAGCTACTGTTACTGCGAATTGCTGTGTTAGCAGGCCTCTGTCAATCAAATGTGGCTAGCAGAAATATCTTCTTGAAGTGATGGGAAAGGGACTAACAGTCCCGGTGTAACTTACTTGAAAGCATGTCAATACCCCCCTTTCCCCCCCCAAAAACCCCAACACCCCACCAGTCCCCCAAGTTTCTGTTCAGACAGTATCTTGTGCTCTGCCTAATCCATTTAACTTGAAATGTTGATCTAAATATTGTCTTACTGTAAACACTATGAAATAGATTAATCTATACATAAAGCTCCATGTATTGTATATCTTGTAGATATTATGTAGATATATTTTATGTATGCAAGTGTTTAGTTCCTGATACGTGTGGCATGTTTAAATCACTTGCACTGATAGAGCCTAAAAATAGATTTGTGGGGAACGGCTATAAAATAATTGCCCTAAGTATTTTCTGAGGTGGTAACCATTCTACATTTAGTTGTGTACATTTTAGCTAGCATTCATATTACAAGGAAAAAAAAAAAAACTACAACTATTTCGTTACTAAGATTTAAGGTGCCTTATCCAACTTGTTAATTGGGGCTATAACTTTTTTTCCCCTGCAGTAAATCACATGCACTTTGTTAGGTTTTTTTTTTTAAAGAACAAATTTAATTTGAATAGAGATAAGACAACTTTGTGTTCTGTTTTGTGTATGAAAGTTTTATAATGGTGAAGGATGTAAGAAAAGACCAGTGGAATCTTAATGCCTATTAGTTAAGCATTTTTACAAAGCATAAGACTGCTTTGCTTAGAGTTGTCTGACACCCTGTATAATTACGTATAAGCTTTGTTTCAAAGAAAGTAGTTATATTCTGTATGTAAATTATGTGAATAAATTATTTTATATCACCTGTGTTTCTGTTTCTTAAACTATCAGTTGCGGTTTTTAAATACTCATTGATACAGTAAGTTAACAAAAGTGCGGGCTAAATGAATGGCCGAAGAGGTGTGGCTGCAGTGCCAGGGCGCGCACAGGCCTGCTTGTAAGGTGGTAACAGACTGAATATGCTTTAACAGGGGCTGTATTCTTCTGTTGTCAGTGTGGTTTTGGTTTAGAATAGAGCTTAATTCCCTTAGTATCTGACTTCCCTCTCTGTAAATACTACAGCCTTGTTTAAAAACAAAATAAAGCTGGAGTGCTGGAAAACAGCAAAGCTTTCAAAGGAGGAAGCAACTCAAGCAAAGAGGGTAGGATTTAAAAAAATCTGCTGTTAATGTAGCATCTCCTTAGTTAATAGCAAAACTCCCGCGTTTCTATGAATGGCAAGGGCTTTTTGGGGTGGCGCACGTATGTAATCCTGCCTGAAAAGCGAAGTCTACAAACAAAATTATTTCAAAGTGAGTTCTTCAGCATTCCCTCGCACCTAGGGGTACGGGTACTGACTGCAGCCCCAGCTGCGGCGTGCTGGCGCCGGTTGCACAGGGAAAGGCTTTCGGATTTCATCGAGTTTAATTCCCAAAGTAACAGGGTCCCCCCCCACCACCCGCGGCAGGGAGGAGCGGGCAGGGGCCCGGGC